CAAACCGAACCGGTGGATTTGGTCAGACGTACTTTTAAACACATTTTAGTTTTGCTAGTGAAAATTCACAAATTCACACTCTGATTACATAGAGCAGCAGCAGGAAGCGCATGAGGTTGTCATGGGAACCGGATACACTGCACGCGAATTACAGCTGCGCTTCTATTTTGCCACACTAAACAACACGTTTAACACGTTTAAAATGCACAATAAACATGTCTGTCAAACGATCTCAAAGGAGGCTTTTATTAAGGAGTGAATGGAGTGAATTACTCATCCACTGTTTTTAAAACAGACATTTGTTGGACTTGATTCAAGTTATGCACAATGAGGTGCACACTTTTTATTTAGTCTTACTGAATAGACGATAAACAGTTTATATCTAAAATCTATTTAAAGGTTGTGTTCTGTGAAAATTAAATAACATTTGGATGTAAATGGTCGGCATAAAAGTAGTGTGCGGCTAAACCAGATTTCTCTGCAGTTCGTGTATGTTGTTAAAAACGCGGAACATCATTTTATTCCACACAACAGGCAAGCATTACCGTTAAGTCTATTATCCACCAAAATGCAGATTCGTCATGTGACAATTCTTACGCAAATGAGATTGAGGGAGACGTTAAGTTTGTTTTGATTTATTAATTTACTTACAATAACAATTTAAAATGTATTAACTTTTACGTATTAATTTTTACATGTATTATTAACTGCATTATATGCATTTTTACTTCATAGAAATAAATAGAAATAAATATTAATAAAATTCTTAAATCGCTATGGGGGAGCCAGGCCAAGCTACACCCATGGTAGTACGGTCTATGCAAATGTGACGCTGACGCCAACGGGTGAAATGCCCGCTCAGCTGTGAACTCATCATAGGTAATGCTGCGTTCAAGTCCTCCTGGGACGTTCGTACTTACGAGTTGACAAGTCGTAATTACGACGTCAGGTGCGTTCAGGTCAGTTTAGTCGGCACAAGATGGCGGTGTACCTTCTTTTAATAAATTACAAGAAAATACAACAGGGTCTGTTAACTGCTTATAGAAAATGAAGAGCAAAGAATTCGCATCAGGTGTGTTTTGCGTTTTTAATATTTTTAAAACATGCAACATGGCAAATCAAAAGATTTTTCACCTATAAGTGCAAAAATGATAGCATTTTTTAACTTGGATTTCATTAACTAGCTGCGTAACAAGAACATGACCAATTTAAGTTTATAGGACAACTAAACTATCAATTTAAACAAAAATTTACCGTCAACTACAGATGTTGCATCCATCGATTCCGCCATGTTTCTCATTGACACGACCCCAACTCGGAAACTCGGGGCTTAAAGAACATTTCGAGTTTCCCACTCATAAAAACGACTTTGTGGTGGAGTTCATGTGCGTTCAACTCGTAAATACGATCTATCCGACATGACTTGACCGCACCATAAGTCGCAATGGCAATGCACCGGCGTTAGAGTTTATCTGAGGATAGTGTAAGAAGGATTCAACAGATCACACGCAACTGCAGCGCTTCTGTGAATGGAGAAAACGTAATAAAACTACAGGCTTACATAAAAAGGAATATAAGCATATACACAAAATATATTTCACTTAAATCATTGACAGATTAACAAAACGAAAGAAGAAAATGTGCTGAGTTACGGTTCATTGTAACGCGTTCCAAAGTTCTCGGAAAGGAAAACAAGACAGCTGAAAGTAGTTTTCTTTATTTTGCAAAAGCTTTACAGTTTTATTTATTTTGCAAAAGCTTGACAGTTTTGAATAATGTCTTGCTTCTATCTGTATAACCAACCAGCGTTGGTATGACCATCGTGCCGGCACCTCACGCGCACACACAACATATTTTTGCGACATTGCAGCCTGTTCAATATCAAAATAAAATACAGTTAAAGAAACTAATAAAAAGTTACATTGCTCCGTTGTACAAAATTTGTTGCGTTCAGCGTGACCAGCACCTTAAGGCCCGTTCACACCAAGGATGATAACTATAAAGATAACGAATAAGATATAGTTCTAAAAATCGTTCTCAATATTAAAGAATAGCTACTACCACAACTATAACGATAAAGACAAAGAGAAACGATATAGTTGGAATCACTTTCAAAACGATTTTTCTCCAGCTGATGAACGATAAAAAATTGACAGCCAATCAGAATCCATCCTGCTGTAACGAGCTCGAGAATTTAAAGCGGCAGACGTGCGTGCACTTAGAATAAACAGACGATATCGTTCACTGGTGTGAACGCTAATATCGTTATCTTTATAGTTATCTTTATAGTTAATCGTTCTTGGTGTGAACGGGGCTTTACTGTGCTGATATAGCCGATGTGAAGGATGATGTTTTAAGTCGATGAAAGTGCAAAACCTAGCCTATAATAAATAATATTTTAGCATCCAGATACATTGCGAATATGGAAACATTTGGATTTGTGCCGAATGAGCGAGGTAGGCATCAGTTTCACCTTAAATTAATTTGTTTTTGGATTGACGTTTTTATAGCCTAAACGCATAGCCTTAACTTTAGAGGATTTGTTGTGGAGAGAAACTAATAACTGTGTTTATAATGTTTGTAAACATTTTGCTTTAGCCTACCGGCATTTTAGCCTACCTTATTTATGAATGTAGACATCTGAATGTCTGAGCCTATACGCGACTTATGTTTTTTTTCACTCTCAAAACGCAATCTTATATAAGTAGCATTTTTTTTAACAATGCAGCAAACATTTTTAAATATCTTAAAAATACTTTAATGTCTTAAAAGTGTTGATAGATTTTTTCTTTTGTTTAGTAGCCTACATTTGGCCAAAATCTAGAAAAGATGATGCTATATTGGCTGTGACTAAGCGCAGCGGGTTATAGGCTAACGTTACCAGATAATTTTTCTTTTTCTTTTTGAGTAAAGAAAACGCTGTACTTTATTATTATTATTATTATAGGCAAATACATTTTTTTTTAAAAATAATGTTATTAACCAGTATTTCTTCTACCTGAACCGGTTTCGGAATGGTAATAATACAGAGGAACGCAGGAACATAAACATTAAACTATCGATTCTGCTCGGTGTGAACCGATTAAATTTGTTTTTTTCGTTTTCAAGCCCTGCTGCAAACGAATCTGATTGGGTGTTCGAAACCCTTTTGGGGCTGACTGTTTGCTTGTCATTTTGCGAGTGATGAAATCGGATCAGTTTGTTTGTAGTCAATATCCAGTGTATCTACATTGGTTGCTGTAGTAATGATGTAAGCATCAGCACAATGTCAAGATACTCAAACAACAACTGTCAGTGAAGTCAGTGTGGAAAGAGAGGAAAACTTTGCCAATTTGTATCACGATATATAGCTGCAATGCTGAATATAAGTAACATACTGTGTCCAGAATTGCTGATTCTTTGAATTATTCACTACATAGCATAATTCAAAAAGAAGGTTATTATAGTTTAGAAGTTTTCATTTTGTTATATATTTTCAGTTTATTTTGTTTTTATTCTTTATTCGAAAAATTAATTTATGGCCATTTTTATTTTATTTTAGTTAGTTTTGTAAACATGAAAATGTACTGTATTTAATGTTCACTTTTTTCCCAGTTATGATAGTTTTTATTTTTATTTATTTAGAAACATTCAAAACAAATTCAAATTAAATTTCAAACCACATATGAATATATTGTGGAACAAATTTGTAAACATCAAAAAGAAGCAACTGTGCAAGCATTTTTTCAATTTTTCAAATCATGTCTAATTTATTAAAATCATGAAACTTACTGTAAACAATTTAACATCAATTTATTAAAAGTTTAACAAAAATTACATGTTTAGGGCCCTATGAAATGTTTTATTTTTTTCCAACCTTATGTTTATTGTTATCAAATTCTGTGTTTTAGCATTTCTAATTATTTGAAAGCATAAAAACAAGTTTCATTTATTCCTACAATAGCCTTATGATTTTTCCCCTCAGAAATTCTGTTGTGTATTTACATTTTTTAAGGCATTCATTTATTAAGGCATACATAAGGCAAAATTTGAAGGCATTTAATTTATCTTTTAATTAATGAAAATTAAACAAATTAAATGTTTTGGAAAATAAACGGTATTTAATATTACAATTAAAACATTGAAGAAATATTGTATGATTATTCCTTAAAAATGAGGTTTTAACAATTTTAGTAGTAGTAGTAGTACTACTAAATGTATTTCTGCCACAAAGTCTTCAAATGAAACCAAACTTTTATTTTGATGGGTTGCCGTGAATACCTTTACATTTCTGTGTGTATATAGGTGCGTTCGACTTGAACCATGGCTACAGACTGCGGTCAACAAAAGTAGCCGTTTGCAGTCAGGGATGGAGTTGAAAACGGAGCCGTCAAGCCGGTAAACATCAAAAAGAAGCAACTGTGCAAGCATTTTTTCAATTTTTCAAATCATGTCTAATTTATTAAAATCATGAAACTTACTGTAAACAATTTAACATCAATTTATTAAAAGTTTAACAAAAATTACATGTTTAGGGCCCTATGAAATGTTTTATTTTTTTCCAACCTTATGTTTATTGTTATCAAATTCTGTGTTTTAGCATTTCTAATTATTTGAAAGCATAAAAACAAGTTTCATTTATTCCTACAATAGCCTTATGATTTTTCCCCTCAGAAATTCTGTTGTGTATTTACATTTTTTAAGGCATTCATTTATTAAGGCATACATAAGGCAAAATTTGAAGGCATTTAATTTATCTTTTAATTAATGAAAATTAAACAAATTAAATGTTTTGGAAAATAAACGGTATTTAATATTACAATTAAAACATTGAAGAAATATTGTATGATTATTCCTTAAAAATGAGGTTTTAACAATTTTAGTAGTAGTAGTAGTACTACTAAATGTATTTCTGCCACAAAGTCTTCAAATGAAACCAAACTTTTATTTTGATGGGTTGCCGTGAATACCTTTACATTTCTGTGTGTATATAGGTGCGTTCGACTTGAACCATGGCTACAGACTGCGGTCAACAAAAGTAGCCGTTTGCAGTCAGGGATGGAGTTGAAAACGGAGCCGTCAAGCCGGACACTTTCTGCTCCCGTTAGTGACACTCACGCGGTGTTTGCATAGTCCATCACAGATGAAGTGAATAAAATGCAATATTTGTCAAATACACAGACGTTTCAGAAATGTTTTCATGAGCAACAGAAACACTTTTTATATACTGCTTAATACAGCGACATCTTTTCAAGAATTAAGTTCAACATAATCATATACTCTTTAAAAACGAATAAAGTGGGGGTATATATGCTTTTATCAGTGTTTTATGATAAACGTTACTCAATATAACAGTGCGAATACAGTAAAAAAGCTTTTACTGTTCTAAAAACACAGATTTGTGGCCATTACTGGAATTGAAAAGGTTAGAATAAACCCGAAACACACGTGATTGTTGTCATGCGGGGAATCTGGCCAATCGTGAAACAGCTGTGTCGTCATCAGTGGTCCTGCAGTCGCTCTGGAGAAACTGCGGCGGCTGAGACAGCCGGCTGCTCTCGAAACGCTCTTCGGGGCGGAACTCCGCTGTGCGCGATACAGAGAGTGCGATCATGTAATGTAGAGACCGAAATGACATTCCGTCGTGTAAATAAGATAAATAACATAAGGCTATTTAGTTTGTTTAATAAAAGAACAAGGTATAGACGTGTTCTATAGGAAAGGTAACTTTAAATGACTTTAAGTGATCTGGCGCTATAGAGAAAATAAAATTAAATAAAATTAACTTGACCTTCAAGGGGGGGCCCCCTAATATAATGGCAGGGGAAACACTGGCATAGACCTAACAATATGCAAATGAATTGACATAACATGGAACTGTAGATATTGTATTAATATTAGCCATATTATTGTATGACAGATGAATGTGTACCAACTTACCATGCACAACCTTTGACATCAACAACTACAAATATTGGAAGCATTTTCTCTCCCATTTCTCCAAGTTGATAAGCTTGTTTATGTATTATTAAGAGATGTAATTTATTATTTCTCTTATGGTGATTTATGGTATTACAGAAAGACCCTCTCCCCTGGAGACCTCAGTATGGGAAAGATGTCGATGAGGACATGCTCGCCCAGACTTGGAGACCTTCCGCGACCCAGTCCAGGACCTGAGATGCTGCTAAACGGGAATTGAGGCGGGCTGAAAACACCAGTTTCCTCATGTTCTAATTCCACAGGTTCATGCCAAGAATCCACCATCCTCCTTAGGTAGAAGGTAGAGTTGCCCTTATAGGAGTCAATCGAGGCAGCGAGACGCAGCCGAAAGCCTTCTGTATTCATGTGTTCTCTTCATAAGAGCTAGCTATGCCCTGTAATTGTAATCACTCATCATCTGTTCAGAGTCTGTTTGTTTTTCTTAATCACTGCTTGTGGATGAATGTTCACTTTGAGTCACAACTCCACCTCAGGTAACTCTCGATGTCAGCCAATCAGAACTCTCTCCAAGCCAGGAAACCAATTACCCATGTCCCGTAACTCTGTACAGAAGAGACGGTTCTCACTAGCTTTTAGCACACTGAAGAAACCATAATCTACTGTATGATGATTATATAGCAGACTCTTCCAATATATATTTAGAATAACCAAGGTGCTTGGAATCTATAGTACATGCATTAATTATTATTATTATTAATATTATTGCAGTGTTAGCCACTGAAATGTTTTGTGCATTTATTGTTTGTTGGGCATCATTGTTTGAAACAGCCATTCATTGATCATTGTTTAAATGTATGTGTGTGGATTATGCTATATGTCTGGTATCTCTAAGAGACATTTTACAGGTATTCAATATTTTGTAGAAATATCCAAAAGAAACAGTTCACCCAAAAATGAAGGTTCTGTCATTCTGTCATCACCATAAACACAGCGTTAAAGTGGGCCATACGACTTGCGTTATTATGTTATTACGTTATTACGTTATAAGTTATTTCCAAGTCTTATGAAGCCTCATAATAATTTTGCATGTGGAATTTATGTAGTTAATCACTACATTGTTCGAGTCCGAGTCCAGGCCTGAATAATTTCGGCAAGTCAAGACCAGAAGTGTTGAGTCTGAGATAAGACGAACACCAGATAATGGTCGAGTCTGGGTCAAGACCAAGCCCAGAAGAGGGTCAAGTCTGTGTTAGAGTCGAAAAAGCAACCAGAAGAGGTGCTGAGTCCAAGTCAATACAGACACCAGAAGAAGGTCAAGTCTGAGTCAAGACAGAGACCAAAAGAAGGCCGAGTCTGAGTCAAGACAGAGACCAGAAGAAGGCCCAGTCCACGTCAAGACAGAGACCAGAAGAGTGTTGAGTCTGAGTCAAGACAGAGACCAGAAGAAGGCTCAGTCCGAGTCAAGACAGAGACCAGAAGAAGGCTCAGTCCGAGTCAAGACAGAGACCAGAAGAGAGATGAGTCTGAGTCCAGACTGAGACCAGAAGAAGATTGAGTCTGAGTCTAGACAGAGACCAGAAGAGAGATGAGTCTGAGTCTAGACTGAGAGCAGAAGAGGATTGAGTCTGAGTCAAGACAGAGACCAGAAGAATGTCAAGTCCAAGTCAAGACTGAGACCAGAAGAGGATTGAGTCTGAGTCAAGACAGAGACCAGAAGAAAGCCCAGTCCAAGTCAAGACAGAGACCAGAAGAGTATTGAGTCTGAGTCAAGACAGAGACCAAAAGAAGGCCGAGTCTGAATCAAGACAGAGACCAAAAGAAGGCCGAGTCTGAGTCTAGACTGAGACCAGAAGAGTGTTGAGTCTGAGTCAAGACAAAGATCAGAAGAGTGTTGAGTCTGAGTCAAGACAAAGATCAGAAGAGTGTTGAGTCTGAGTCAAGATAGAGACCAGAAGAAGGCCCAGTCTGAGTCAAGACAGAGACCAGAAGAGTGTTGAGTCTGAGTCAAGACAGAGACCAAAAGAAGGCAGAGTCTGAGTCAAGACAGAGACCATCAGAGACCAGAAGAAGGCTCAGTCCGAGTCAAGACAGAGACCAGAAGAGTGTTGAGTCTGAGTCTAGACTGAGACCAGAAGAGGATTGAGTCTGAGTTAAGACAGAGACCAGAAGAAAGCCCAGTCCAAGTCAAGACAGAGACCAGAAGAGCATTGAGTCTGAGTCAAGACAGAGACCAAAAGAAGTCTGAGTCAAGACAGAGACCAGAAGAAGGCCCAGTCCGAGTCAAGACAGAGACCAGAAGAGTGTTGACTTTGAGTCAAGACAGAGACCAGAAGAGGATTGAGTCTGAGTCTAGACTGAGTCAAGACCAAGACCATGAATATATGGTCTAAAACTTGGACTTGTGTACTACAACAAAGTCATTTTTGGGTGAGCTGTATCTATTAGCTATAAGCAACAAACAGCCCAATAGAATTTCACAGTTCAGTCTTGTTTGAGGATGTGGAATTGTTTAGTGTGTATGAAATGCCTAATCCAGTGACAGTTCCTGTCTGTTGTTTAGAATAGTCAAAAGGTCACTTCGGTTTTTATTTTTGCTGTTGTTGCTTCCTGTAATTTCAGTTTGAAGAGTACAGATGATTAGAGTTTAGGGTTCTTTAGTTTCCAAAATTCTTGTTTTCCCTTATTTTATTACAAAACATTGCTAACTTCCATGAAGTTGTTGGGATATTTTGTATCAGTTTTTAATTGTTTGGTCAGCATTTTGAAAGTACAATCAACCCTACAGTATCTACAAACCATCACATGTTTTTGAGGATTATTTCCTGCTTGATTAAGAGTAAATAGAGGGAAAATAATCACAGTAACTCCAAGATTGCTGGTGTTTTCATGTAGTTTTGTGCACTGTAGTGTTCCTGAAAGGAAATGAAAACTGTGTAACAGCGCATAGAAAAACTCTCCCATTTAAAATAGCATTTCAGTATCTAATTTATGACAGGATTGTTTTTTTGTTTAATACTTTTCTCCGGTCACTGATTTCTCTTTTGTTAAATGTATTGCCTGGACCAGTTAAGTGTGTGTATATGTTTGAATTAGTGTATGAATGTGCATATTGTCTTAAGCCTGAACAAAATATGAATATGAATGCATTATCACTTAAGACTGTTAATCACGGTTTTACTTATGTGGTATTAGTGTTTTTCCACTTAAAATGAAAAATGTGGAGTGAATCTTCCTGGTCTCGGCTCAAGTGCTGTCTCATTAAATCTCATTTTGCCTCCTGCAGTTGAAGCGTTTTTCGACAGGCGATGTTACAGCTGCACCTTCCAGCAAAGACATTTTTTTGCGAAATGCTTTTTGAATGATATACAGAAATTTTGAATGGTTGAGTCCTAGTGTGTTTAAGCATAACTTGTTGATTTAGTGCACATGTAAGGATTTTTGCCTTTATTTTTGGTTTATCTTCTATTTGTTGGGCCTCATCTGATATGAGACTTTGAAAAATGGCGCTGGGTTGGTAACGATACGAGTTTCCGCTCTAAGTTTCTCTCTAGCTATCAAATTGCCTTTAAAATGTCACTTTTCCTATATTATCACCCGTTGCGATGCAGCAAAGCCTTATTAGTACGTTTGACTCGTTTATCTGCCCAGCTCAGCCCTGTATCATGCATGCTGCCTTTGGCAAAGAGGTTCTTTGGCAAAGGAAGTATGATTGTGTAGTTGTGTCACACAACACCCCAGTGCTGTGAATGTCCTGCACTGTATCTTGCATTTTACTCACTTCCTATAGCACTTACTGTCTGCTTGTATGGATTAATATCAGGATTATGATTGTTATTGTTTTATATCCATAGTTCTGTAGTTTTTTTTCCCCCTTGGAAATGTCAGTTTTGTTTGCATTTAAATTTTACAAATTTGCTTAGCTGTAATAATGGGGCAGGACGTGTTTGGTTGTGATGATGCTTGTTTTTGTCCTGTATGCAACTGCAAAAACGAACTGATGTGTTGGATATTTTTACGTCTGTATTAGACATTTTATTTGCAAATCTATTGTTCGATTCAATTGTAAATGAATAGAAGATGGGCATCCGTCATTTTATACAACCAGAGCCATCATTAGATGGACACACTGCACATTTTTATTATATATAATCAGATATATGAGGCTATTTATGGTCACAGAGAGAGAGTCTAAAAGTCAGGAATATCTTTTGATGAAATAATAGTAGAAATTATTTATATTGCATATTGTTTCTTTTTAAATACCACCGGGCAAAGATTTCCCTTTTGCTTGTGGCAATGCAAGGAAGAATATATAGAAATGTAGCCAACGCACAGTCGATTCTTACTGGTTGTTTGTTTGTTATTGCTCTTGTAGCTTGGCTAAGCTTGGCTCTGATATGTAGGGCAAGCTGGTGAGATGAATCTAAAGGTCATGACATGTAGTTGCATGCCAAGATAATAAACACAGTTACATCATCACTTGAGTGTTCAGACTCTTTCTTATACCCCCAGGATGCAGTTTTATGAATAAGCATGACATCTGCTGGTGTACGGTGGTATGGCACGTGACGGTGGGCTACTTAACTGGAGAATATATATATATATATATATATTTAACAATACACTAGCCTCAGAATGTTGTAAATCAAAAGATTGTAATAGTGTATTTTAATACTAGATTACAGTTAGTAGGAAATACATGCTAATCAGTCAGAGGAAGATTTTGCTCCAAACCGCATACTGCTTCATGTTCCTATATCTGCATTATACCATACCACCAAATACCACTTGTATAGACCTTAACCAGTTTAGACACCATAATGAATTTATTCATTATCATTTTCACAACCCAAAACTTTTAAAGCTGTTTTATCTCCTGAAAGTATTTTTTTTTTCTCAGAAAGATGTTTCATCTGAACAATTGGTTGTTAAACAAAAGTAAAATCTATTGAACACACTGTACTTCTATCACTCACAGCCTTATTTTTATTCCTGTCTAGTAAAAATATGGCTCTACCCTGACTAAGGTCTATTGTAGTATACAGCGGTTCTTCTTTGGAATGTTCTATACTGACATTCTACTTTTTTTTCTACAGTAGGCCTACGTGTATACAACATGCTCAACTTGCATTTACTATCATCTCTGATTTTTAACTGCTCTTTTTTTTGCCTTATTACTTAATTGGACTGCCAAATGTTTCAAAATGTTATGCAAAATAGATAAAAAATGTGAAATTGTGTTTATTTTCTAAATTATAATCAGATCTGCTCTTTTCAGGTAAACATGCAACATAATTTAAAATGACAACAGTGAAGCATACTACTGTTTGAAATGTTTTTCTTCCACAACTTTCTAAACATGCTCTAGCAGTATGCAGAATGTAGTACATACTGCGCAGAAAGCAGTACGCTAGTATTCGATTCCATTCCGAAGAATGCCAACGAGTGCGGCGGCGCATGCGCAGTTCGTGCGGGGTTTGGTTTGTGTTTACAGCAGCACTGTTGCTGGCTAACGTTCATCGCTGTTATGTCAAGCCTCTCTGGAATAAAAAGCTTTTGTGGAAACAGGTAGGATGAGTGGCAACGATGCACACCTCCGTGTTTTTACTTATTCTACACGTCCGTTTCGCTATTCAGAAGTTTAGTCGTTTTAGGAGGAAGATATAACACAATATATGCAGATTTGGATTTGAGGCTAGCATGCTACAGTGTGTTAGCCCGTTAAAGGCCGTGTGCTGATCTCTGCTTCACTGCATGACACAAAACCTGCAAAGATCTGCTGTCTGCACAGCGCACATCCCCATCTTTGTGACAGATTCTGTTTTAAACAAAGAAAAATCGAAAAAAAAAAACAAGGACGTTGTTTGTGTGTTACTGTCTAAGCATATATAAGATATAATTAGAGGATTTGCTCGCCTCTCATGGTAGAAATGCATCATCCGCAATAGATGCAAACATAGCTGCATTAACGTTACTAAATGTTATCGCATGTGTAACGATCCTGAATCTAGTTGGATGTGTTTTGATGGTCATGTGTTTGACTGTACTAGCTAGTGATTCTGAACCGAATCATGTAACGCTAAATCCGCCAAAAACATCTGACTGTTTGTTCAGTGACTCTTTCTGCAGTTCAGGTTGTTACGCCAATAGGTGGCGTCAAGTGACTGTCTTTCTATGTGTAATAAGCAAGTCATTGAATCATGCATTCAAGTAATTCCTGAGTGTTATAATTTTCCTTTATTATGACAACAAAGTATGTTATTGTTTCTCCAATTATCTGTCAGGACTAAGAGCCACAGTAAGTATTTGTTCAGTTCCCTTTCAGACTCAAAACGACCTGTTTAGTGAAGGGGAGGTGTTCATTTAGTAAGTCAACCAATAAAATGCTCAGTCATAAACAGCGGTCGAATGCTATTGGCTCGTGGAATAGCCAGTCTTTTAAGGTGTGGTCAAATTACCGGTCCATTTTCTGTTGTCAATAGTGTATAGGGATGGGCGATACCACTTATTTTGTTTTCGATACGATATCGATATTTTTCAAGGCAGTATCGTCGATATTGATACCGATTCGATACTTCTGAACTAAACTTTTAAATTATGAAATTTATGAAATTATTAAATTACTAAGAGTAAAATGGGTAATGATACGCACTTAACTTTGTTTAAAACGCATTTTAACATTCAATACGCCTTAATTGTAACTTATTAGGTTATATTTTTGTTTACACATGGTTCAAATATGTTTTTTGTTTACACATGATTCAAATCTACAGATACTACAGTTGAACTATGGTCACTTTAGTAAAACCATGGTTCATTTTCATAAGGGACTTTGCATGCATAAAATGCAACCTTTTTATTCTGACAGTGTATGATTTCTATTAACATTACAGAATAGAACATGATCAATATTATCTTTCAACGTTCAATTTAAATAACTGTTATTGCACAAACTATGGTATTATATAATGATGATATATGATAATAACTCTGTCCTTCTGTCCTCTAATAAGCATTGTTCAGGGCTGCCGTTCCCAAAAGCTTTAATGCTTTCTTATGATACTTTTGGGAAACGCAGCCCTGTTTGAATGCACTGTCAGAAGTGAGTGAACACTCTCTGTGATTGATTGGTTCTGTCTTGCAACATTTGCGTGTGTTCAGATGAGCAGGAAAATAGTTATATCCTACACAATTACTCGCTAACAAAGGTTATTCGTCCAATTCAATGCATATTGTACGCATTATTATATATATATATATATATATATATATATATATATATATTTTGTTAAATTAACAAAATTACTGGTAAATAAAACACACCTTAGTATCAATATTTTTTGTTTGAGTATCGATACTTTCGATACTCGCGTCAGTATCGATATATCGATACTTAGGATCGATACGCCCATCCCTAATAGTGTAGCAAAGTTTGAAGCTCAGCTCACACAGAAGTCACTTTTTAAAACCAAGCAGGTTAGCGCCACTTGAATATTAGTGAAATCTGCATGGTGAAATTGTTTGCTCTTTTGCACGGGTTCCTATTGAAATGAACTTTTTTAATTTGTAACTGTACCTCAAGGCTGAAAAGCTGGTATTCACTTCAAACGGGAAAGAGCAGTCAGTGAGAATGATTCATTAATCAAAAAAAAAAAAAAGATTAATTGATTGAAAACAATAAGATCACTAATTGTAACACCACCTTATTCCTCCAACTCAGAGGCGGATATACCCATTACTTACTGCCAGCAGTGAGTTCAGCTCTCATAAACGCACATTCATGTTGCTAACATGATTTCAGATTGCATAACAGTTGTCTTTGGAGGAACTATGTTTCTGGTACGAACAGCCACACCTTAAGATTTAACCCAGACTGGTAGCTTTGTTTTTTTCCCCCGACAGGTGAAATAACGTATTTATTTAATCTATTGTTTTAATAATTACTCAGCCATTCATTTTAAAGTGAGCAACGCAACAAAAAGCCTAGCCTGAAAGCAGTTTGACATAGACCACAGCTGTACTGTTGCAGAAAATATATTTATTTTTGTTGAAAGTTTTTAGTTATTGTTATTATTAATTCTAGTTATGTTATTATTTATAATTTTCTGTTTAATATATAGTTATATAATAGTAAACCACAAGTCTGTGTGCATACACACACACACACATCATTAAGAATTTTTGTATTTTGAAATAAGCACAAGATATATTTGATAAAAAGTTGGTAAAAACAGTAATATTGCGAAATATTAATACAATATCAGATAAATGTTTTTTATTTGATTATATTGTAAAATGTAATTGATTCCTGTGATACAAAGCTACATTTTCAGCATAATTTCTCCATTCTTAATATATTCTATCATATCAATTGTGAAAACTGTGCTACGTTCTCATTTAAAAGTTTGTGGTAAATGAAAAAATAGAAATATTTTTATTCAGCAAGAACATGTTAATTTGATCAAAAGTGATGATAAAAACATTTATAATACAAAAGATTTGTATTTTAAGTAAATGGTCATCAAAGACAAAAAGTCCTAAAAAATGTCTCAAATGAAAATTCAGCTTTTAAATAACATTTTAAAATATATTAAAATAGAAAATGGTTATTTTTAATATTAATGTAACAATATTTTGCAATAATTCTATATTTTTGATAAAATAAATGCAGCCTTGGTGAGCACAAGAGACTTCTTTCAAAAACATTAAAAAATCGTCATGATCCCAAACTTTTGACCGGTAGTGTCTGTGTATCTTGTGTATATATACACATATATGAACAGTTTCATTGGTTGAAAAACCTAATAGTAGACTGTAAGCATTATAAATACGTTATAATTCCCATGCGCTTGTGTTCCTCAACAATAAACATGCTCCTCAGTGGATGTTATGTTGCCAAGGCAGTGATGGCGAAAAGCTCAAGGGTCTTTGTCTTCATCTGGAAAAAATAACTGACTTGCAGCACCACTGCTTCCATATGCACATATTGGACATCATGTTGAATCGTTTCCCAAAACACATGGGATCACGTGAGTTGAGTGATGTGTGAGCAGAGGGCAGGCAGAAAGGCCCAGTGGCTGACCATGTGTTTAACGGCACAATGACAGATGCTTCTCATCTCGGGGGTATGTGAGACAGCTGGCCCATGTGCAACCGCACCCTGACTCCATATCACTGACAGAGACCACATGCTTCATTCAGACATTTGAACTACCACTACAAACCCGTCTTGATGGTCTTTTTTTTTTTGCTTATTCAATGTTTTATGGAAGCTTGTTTCCACCACAGGATAAAAAAAAAAGAAAATAATAATAAAAAAAGGTAATTGTGACTTTTATCTCGTAGTTCGGACTTTATATCTCACTGTTTGTTCGTTTTTTTCATTGCAATTCTTTTGCGAGATGTAAGCTCACAATTGCAAGAAAAAAGCCTGAATTCTTAGATAAAAAGTCTTAATGATATTTTTTTAGTTTGTATTC